ACATGATTGTGAGGTCAGGAGTATTATGCTCCAAAACTCTGTCTGAATCCGGAAGTCCCAGAGGAGTTTGGCCTGTTCATTCTCTGTAACTTTTCCCGGCTCGTGATCCCACCAGTTCTTTGTTGCAGGCAGATGGTATTTGTGGCATAAGTTCCAATGAATCATCTGAGCAATGGTGTTATGCCTCTGCTTGTAGTCTGTCTGCATGATCTTCTTGCAGCAGTTTAGGATGTGATCTATTGTTTCATCTGCTTCCTTGCAGAGTCTACATTTGGGATCTGTTTTCGACTTTTCAATTCTGGCTTTGATGGCCTTGGTTCGAATGGCTTGTTCTTGGGCTGCCAGAATCAGGCCCTCCGTCTCCTTTTCAGAGTGCCATTTGTGAGCCACAGCCATGTTTTTTCTTTGTCAATTTGGCTCTCAACATTTCCCATGGAGAGCCTTCTTTGGCCAGTTTTCTCTTCTGCTCTGGATTGTGTTTCTTGGGTATTCCCTCTTTGTCTTTTGCACTTTAAGCAGTTTGCTACTATTGACTTCCCTCAATGTTGTTTCTTGACTGCCTTATTATTATTATTATTATTATTATTATTATTATTATTATTATGTTCTTATTGTTGTTGTTGTTGTGTGGTTTGATCTGCCACAAACATCCCAATCTCAGGATGCACCCAGGCTGGTGAAAAAGACCCGCAAGCCTTAGATATTTTTCCCTTTCTTTTCTGATAGTAGTGTGTTGTGGCAAACCCTGCAAAGGCTACATCTTCACTGTAGAATAAACGTCATTTGACACCTCTTTAAGTGCCATGGGCTCAATGCTATGGAATCATTGGGGGATGTAGTTTGGTGGGGCAGAGGAGGCGTAAGACCTTGTCCAACTAGAGCTCCCAAGATCCCAGGGCGGTGAAAGTGGTGCCAAACTGCATTCGTTCTCATTTCTCCAGTGTACTCGCACCCAAGGAAAAGGAAAGCAAGTCCTTAAAAGGCCAAACAGGTTGAGTTGGCAAGAGCTTCCCCAACAAGCGTATTTCGAAAGTGGACCGAAAAGCTCTTGAAGGTGCCACGAGATTTCTTGCTGGCCTCAAACCAAGCCTGAGCTGGGAGGTGGCACCAAAATAGGCAGCAGCGTGATGTGATCTCCTTCCAAAGGGGTCTTTTCCCGCAAAGAACCCCTTGGACTTTCTCTTTCGCTCAGAAGCGAAAGCTCTGAGTCGCCTTGGGGGGAGATAGAGCGGTATATAAAGAAAGTGTGGTTGCTGTTGTTATTGAAAGCGGGCTGGGAGCCTTCATTTCCTTCTCTGCGGTCGACATGGCAGAGGTGCCAAGGCTGGGTGCCTTCCCTCTCCTGGTGGAGGGGGACTGGGGGGACCCCCATCTCCCCAAAGCGCTGCAAAACAAGCTGCTCGCCTACTTCCAGAGCCACAAACAGTCCGGAGGCGGAGAGTGCCAACTCCAGCGGCAGGAGGGGCGAGTCCTGGTCTGCTTTACTCACCCAGAAGGTAGCTTCTCTCTTTCTCTCTTTCTCTTTCTCTCTCTCTCTCTCTCTCTCCTTCCTCCCTCTGCTTCCCTCCTCCTTGCATTTCTCTCTCTCTCTTTTGGGATCCACAAGGCATCCTAATAGGTGTTAAGGAAAACTACCCTAAAATATACAGCACAGCATCCAAAATAAACAGGACGCAAAAGTTTAGCATCACTGGGTTGCTGTGAGTTTTCTGGGCTGTATGGCCATGTTTCAGAAGCATTCTCTTCGGTCATTTCACCCACATCTGTAGCGGACACTCTCAGAGGTTGTGAGGTCTGTTGGAAACTAGGTAAATGGGGTTTATATATCTGGAATGTCCAGGGTGGGAGAAAGAACTTTTGTCTGTTGTAGGTGTGTATTGCAATTGGCCACCTTGATTAGCATTTAATGGCCTAGTTTCCAACAGTTTCCAACAGACCTCACAACTTCTGAGAATGCCTGCCATAGGTGCAGGCAAAACGTCAGGAGAGAATGATTCTGGAACATGGCCATACAACCCAGGAAAACTCACAACAACTCGGATCGCTTCCAGGAGAATATTACAAAAACCCACCAAGGAGATGGAAGAAATCTTTGAAAACAGTATCTTCTGCATCTTGTTTTCTTGAGATGTCATGCCCAGAAGTCCCTGTCGGTTTGCCAGTAAGGCTCAGGAGGTTGACATGAGAAGATTAGGTTTCAACTTAGAATGCTCTTTATACATGTTGAACAGTTTGAAAGGTAACAAAACTTTTTTTGAACATACAAAATGGATAATCCTAATCTCCACCCAGATAAAACCTCCCTGTTCTCTTTATCTTTATCTTGGAAGGTGTATTTCCCAGCACAAAGTACAGTTTACTGCCTTCAAAGCTCAGGTCCCAGATATTTCAAGGATTTTATGGTCCCTTCTAAACTGCCATATATATATATATATATATATATATATATATATGGCAGTGTAGACTCAAATAATCCAGTTCAAAGCAGGTAATGTGGATTATCTGCTTTGACAATCTCAATTATATGGCAGTGTTGAGTCTCCTTAGGGCTGAGAATGGCGGTATACAAATGAAGTAAATAAATACATAAATAAATAAGTGTTGAAGGGGCCTAATTCACTTTAGGAGAGGAGCCCATGTTCTGAAATCTTTGGGGAAGCCCTGCATTTTAAACTTTCATATGATGTAAATTGTTTTGCCTTTGTTGACTTTCGTAAGACATGTTGAGTATCAGGCTGGGATAAAGGTGGACTATTGGCAGCAGTTATAATAAGTAATTGCAACAAGTATTTGTTATCTTTATAAATGTAAGTAGCAAGCCTTTAGAACAGTGGTTCCCAACCTGTGGTCCCCAAGAACGAATATATGGTCTACAGCTTCACCATTAATACACCATTGCCTCAAAACCATGCGATAATGAGAGTGACTGGTCTCGCAAAACTCTCTTATAGTGCCGAGACAATCGGAAGGGGAGAGATTGACTACTCACAAAAGATTACTACTACCACATCAGCTCTAGATTATTAAATATGGTTTTCCGTGGGCGAGCAGATGGTAACTACTGGATGGTGTATATTCTGTATCAGAAACTAGAGCAGTGTTTCTCAACCTGGGGGTCGGGACCCCTGAGGGGGTCATGAGGGGGTGTCAAAGGGGTCGCCAAAGACCATAACCTTTTGGTACTATGTTGGAATGTGGTTCCACAGTAAAAGGTTAGGTAAAGGTTTCCCCTGACATTAAGTCCAGTCATGTTCCGACTCTGGGGTTGGTGCTCATCTCCATTTCTAAGCGAAGAGCCGGCGTTGTCCATAGACACCTTCAAGGTCATGTGGCCAGCATGACTGCATGGAGTGTTACCTTTCCGCCTGAACAGTACCTATTGATCTAGTCACATTTGCATGTTTTTGAACTGCTAGGTTTATTTATTTATTTATTTAGAACTTTTATATACCGGTCTTCTCAACCTCCACAGAGGGACTCAGTCCGGTTCACAACAAAAGATTCATAAACAATAGTTTAAAACATCACATCCCATAATTCACTAAAACATTAAAATACAATCATATAATTACATAATGCCAAGTCATCAAAATGAAGTCACAATTCATCGCCATCCGTCCGTGTGGTCAGGAGTTATTGACTCACTCATCAAATGCTAAATTCCAGAGCCAGGTTTTCACCAGTTTTCTAAAAGTCAGGAGAGAAGGGGCAGATCTAATCTCCAGTGGGAGAGAGTTCCAGAGCCGAGGGGCCACCACCGAGAAGGCCCTGTCCCTCGTCCTCACTAGACGCACTTGAAGATCTTAACAACCTTGATGGTTCATAGGGGAGAATCCGTTCGGACAGGTAAACTGGGCCGGAGTCGTTTAGGGATTTATAGGTCAACACCAGCACTTTGAATTGTGCTCGGAAGCTAATTGGCAGCCAGTGGAGCTGGCGCAACAGAGGAGTAGTATGCTCCCTGTACCCCGCTCCTGTTAGTAATCTGGCTGCCGCTCATTGGACTAATTGCAGCTTCTGGGCAGTCTTCAGAGGCAACCCCACGTAGAGAGCGTTGCAGTAGTCTATAAAGGATGTAACCAGAGCGTGGACCACCGTGGCCAAGTCAGACTTCCCAAGGTACGGGCGCACAAGTTTTAAGGTTGGCAGAAGCTGGGGCTAACAGCGGCTTCCTGGATTCAAACCTGTGATCTTTTGGTCATTAAGTTCCAGAAGCTTAGCGCTTTAACCCACTGTGCCACCTGGGGCTCCTTAAAAAAAGGTTGGGAACAAATCTCATCCTGCATTGTTATAGTTGCTGTGCCTAAGAATACAAGAATGGCGGGAGCCCATAAGCCCCTGCTCTCCTGGCCAGCAAGAAGAATGTCTAGAAGCAGTACTATATAAATACCTCATGAGATACAGGCCCCTTACCTCTAATCTCCAGTGTGATTCCTATACTCTTGCAAGAATCAAAAAACAGAATTTGTGTTTCACTTGTTGCTTTTAATCTCTTCTCAGAAGTCATCTGAGAAGAGTATCAAATTCACTTCCACTTTTGGTTTCCAACTCTTTTCTCAGAAGTCATTACATTTTGCTCATATTTAGTAATCTGATCATATCTAGCACCTGATCCTACTGAGGATTGTGCTGACCTGTCCACCAGCTGCCTTTGAGGGACATTGAAATATTTTGGTGGTAAGAATAGTTGGCTGTGTGGGCTTATTAAGAAAAGACTCTCCCCATAAAGGTATAGCAGGGGCTTATAAGCAGCAGCGTGACCCAACACGAGTAGCCCAAAGTGATACAATGAACAAAAACACAGAGACCAATATTATCTCTTCCATAGGAGGCTTTTCTTTGTAGTAAAATAATATTGTTGCACTATTTACAGTTTTTTGTGTGTGTCAGGAGTGGACTTGGGAAACTGCAAGTCTATTCTGGGGTAAGAGAATTGGCCGTCTGCAAGGACGTTGCTCAGGGGGCACCCAGATGCTTTTATGTTTTATCATCCTTGTGAAAGGCTTCTCTCATGTCCTCGAATGGGGAGCTGGAGCTGACAGAGGGGGCTCATCCACGCTCTCCCCGGATTCGAACCTGCGACCTGTCGATCTTCAGTCCTGCTGGCACAAGGGTTCAACCCACTGTGCCACCAGGAGCTCCTACTATTTACAATAACAAGGTTTCCATAACACAAATAAATACATAGTAGCTTTATACACAGAGCAGCCTTTATACACTGGAGCTCCCTCACACGAGAGAGGCTTCTCTCATACAGACGTTTACCTCACACAGACAAGCCTCAGACAGACCGAGGAGTTCCCTCACTGAGGCAAATTAAACACTAACAGGCTTCGGCCTACTCACTCTCCTCAGAGCGACACTATCTTTGGCCCACTAACTCTAACAGGCTTCAGCCTACCAACTCTTTCAGTGCTTGGTCACACTTTTGTAATCAAAAATACCCAATTAATTTTGAATATTTCTGACAAGAATCACCTTGAAAAGGAGAACAAATAAGTCTTGAGACACCCGTAGTCTAACAACTTCAATTCTGCGTACGCTTCCTTTTTGTAAGCGCCCACATCATTAGATAATCATAGAATTCGTTAGTTTCAAAATGTGTTTTATGACCTTTTTTGTTGCAAGGGGCTGTCATAGGTTCTCCTCTGGAATTTAATAATAATAACTGAATATTATTACAAAAAGGTTTATCACATGAGATAGGCAAAGAAAACAGTGCTAATGTCTTACACTTATCGCATGACTTTGCTGCTTTCCCCTCACTCTTCCAATGGGAAACAGTGTTTCTTTTACAGACTCAAATAATCAGTTATTCGCCTTCCATAATAAAAGAATCACTTTCCAATGTTTTCCCATCTGAAAAAATTGAAAAATATAGAATGAGTGAGTGTGTGAGTGTGTGTGTGTGTGTGTGTGTACACACACACACACATATATACACAAATGCTAAGATAAAGTATCCATATAGGTATGTTATGTATATATTTTACGCATAGACTTTTATGTAATACTCTGAAACAGTACACAAACCATTGGCTACTAAGTTGCAGTCAGTTTCCAACAAAAAAGGGAATAATTACAGTCCTTGGCCCCAGGTATGGTGTTAGTCTCCTGCACTATAAGAAGAAGAAGAAGAAAAAGCCAATTTCTCCCACCTCCCTCAGATATTCTGGAAAGCACTGATAGAAAGTATCACATCATTGCATTTTCTGGACTTATCTTCCTATTTTCAGCTACTATCACAGGAATGATTGGAGCCGCAGTGGCGCAATGGGTTAAAACCTTGGGCCGGCTGAACTGCTGACCTGAAGGTCGGTGGTTCGAATCCATGAAATGGGGTGAGCTCCCATTTGTCAGCTCCAGTTTCCCTTTCGGAGACATGAAAGAAGCCTCCCATAAGATTGTAACACAAATGGGTGTCCCCTAGGCAACGTCTCTGCAGATGGCCAATTCTCTCACACTAGAAATAACTTGCAATTTCTCAAGTCGCATT